TTTTGTCGTAAGATCGGGCTAAAACGGGGGATTCGTTGGTCAGGCTCTTTGACTTGAATGAATGTGTGCCCTCGTACGTGACAGACAGACCACAGATGTATATTGACTAATTTGTTTGTTTGTTGTTTAACGTCGCACTCAGCAATATTAAAGCTATATGACGGCGGTCTGCAAGTACTCGTGTCTGGACCTGCCAATCTGCAATGTCAAGAAACAGACGATACAAACGAGTGAGTGAGCATGGTTTTACGCCGCTTTTAGCAATATTCCAGCAATATCACTGCGGGGTACACCAGACATGGGCTTCACACATGGTATCCATGTCGGAAATCGAACCCGGGTCTTTGGCGCGACGATCGAACGCTTTAACCACTAGGCTACCTGACCGCCCCCGATACTAATAAGTTATCAATCTGTGATGGGTTTGAGATTCCTTCTCATTTCGTGATCTGCTCAGCGTTACAACAAAGCACGTGAGCAATATGACATCAGTGAGTTTGTCAAGTTTGTTTGTTTAATGCCACACTCAGCAATATTCCAGCTATATGACGGAGGTCTGTAAATAATCGTGTCTGGACCAGGCAATCAAGTGATTGAGATCATGATCAAGTGGGAAGTAAGCCGGAAGTGATGCAGGTCTTAGATGTTTACCACTTTGGAATCGTACTGATTATAGGGTTCTGATTAATGGTGTGGGTTCCATTGTGTCGGTACTTGTTTGACGTGGCTTGTGATGCGGACTGAATTACACTACCGGGCAAAAGAAAGTATACACCATGTTTGATAATGGCTAAAAATGAAACAAACAAAAAATGGTTAATCGATGCTGGTTTATTTGATAAAGGTGTTTTGGACTTTAGGCGTTTATTTTTTCAACGACTGTTTTCAGCCTAAAAAACCTTTTGATAACGTTTACAATCTTTTTTATGAATTGCGCTTTTCAAGTTATACTTTTCTTTGTCCGGCAATTTATGTTGACTGGGATAAACAACATTGGGAGCAATCCATATTGGAAATGGAGTCTCTAGTTTCATTAGTCCACATGACTATCACTCTTCAAAACATCGGCTTTCATTTTCTGTATGTCTAAGGATCTGTCGGCATGCGGTTCACAGTACAATCAGGCCCCTAATCCAATTCTGCCCGAGTTATTATGAAGGTAACGGAATAAGCCGAGAGAATCCGAATGTCACCGGAAGACGACGGCCGACTCTCCAGGAGAGTCGTTATGGCGTGGGTGGATCATTTACCTGTTAAAAGAAGCTTTTTAACCCCTTGCCCTTCACCTGACAATGCTGGTTGAGCTTGAGTTGTATAATCTGTATTGCTCAGATACAAATCGTTTTTCATGGAAACTCATAAAATATAGACAACGCACTGATAAGATAGGCACAGTGGCAACAAAATAAAAATGGTTTTGCTGATTAGATTTCGTTGAACGTCCCGTGGTGGTATCAGGTCGGCATAAGATATGTGAATATAATTGGTTTTTTGGGGTGTTTTTTATTGTTGTTTAACGCCGCACTCAGCAATATTCCAGCTTTATGACGGCGGTGTGAAAATCCAGTGATTGAGATCATCGATCAACGCAATTGATGACGTGCATCAACCAAGTCAGCGAGCCTGACCACCCGATCCCGTTAGTAGCCTCTTACGACACGCATGGGTTGCTGAAGACCTATTCTTACCCGGATCTTCACGGATCGTGAATATAATAGGAATTGGGAGATCACTGTGGTTAGAAATATAACGAGATATCACACCGCTTTGATCGATATAAAACAAGTTAAAAATCTAAAGTCTTTTAAACAAATCAGTATCAAAACAATTGGTACCGACTCATCGACGGAGCATCGCCACTACTGCTCAAACCAGACATCGCTAATGTACAAATGTTAAATTTGGTATAACACTTCCTTAGGAAAGTACCAACTCTAACAGTTTTCTGGGTAGAGTTTCATTCGGGATTCGAACCACACTCTCATTTTGAGACAGATAATCGCATGCAACACAAACATCTCCAAGTCGCGGGGGTGATACGTACAGGTCGCTGAGAGGGGACGTTTTCTGTAACAGTGCTTTACGCCAGCTGACAGATGGGGACAAGTCCACCGATCCACATCATTCGCACCAGGGCCATGTTCCACAAAGCGATCTTAGTGCTACCTTGAGCGTAAGCCTATGATAAAGTATGGGAGTTATGACCAACTTAGCACCAAGATCGCTTTGTGGAACAGGTTCCAGGTCAAGCGGGGATGCTTAGATGCTCTACCCCGGCATTCCCGCCACCAGGGCTTAAGGGATGTATAGTTAGTTTGTTGTCTTGGTTGATTCATGTCATACTGTCTCAAATGATACTGTCTCAGATCGATGCTTACGATGTCAATCAATGGATTGTCTGGTCCTGACTCAATTATTTACAGACCGCCGTCATATAGCTGGAATATTGCTGGGTGCGGCGTTAAACAACAAACAAACAATAATCTACTTTCAGTTAACTGATCTAGGTAGACGAGAGGGCGGAGTCATGGGGTTGATTCTCGGTTCCCGATATCTGTTGAGTGTTATGGTCGTCTCGAAATAGCAAATGATGAAAATTATTAACCAGATTCTTGCAGATGCATACTATTAACTTTCTTACTCGCATGCCGTAATTTTTTAGTTCACCATCATTGCATCCTCTGGCGGTTATAGTTTTTTTTAAAGATGTATTTTGTTAATGTGTAAATGTTAGCGATCTATGTGTTATTGCAAAGTGTAAAATATGAACACTTGCTCGATTGTGGCATTTTAAGACTATTTTAAAACCCATTTACTCCAAAAAATTAAACTAAGTGTTTGTATACAGTCCGGGAATGTGTACTTTGGAACCACAACTGACGTCTCTAGTGAAACATTTTTTTCGAAGAAGATTTGATTCTACATCAAGTACTGGTCAAGTACTCCATTTGTTATCATTACGAACTGTTTTTATTTGTTTTGTTTACTGATCCACTTATCTTTAACTTAATCAATAATGTGATTCACTTAAGTAAGAAAGACTCGTGCTTTAAATTTGAATCACACACGTTCACCAGTCTATAGACATGTGAAGTGTACAGAACAACTAAAGGGAAGTAACTCCCGCAAGTAGCCTCGGAGTGCTGCCTGGCAGTGTTTAAGCCGAAGAAACCGAAGGAAGGAAGTTTGAAAGTAAAATCCTATGATCTCAATATTTAGTCTAAATACTTTAAGTGGTCGTTGTTCAGTGAATTCCTAGGCCCCCTCCAGAAAGTCAGATGGTGTTAGGGGAGAGGTGGCTCACAAGTCCTTAGGACAGGCGGTGGTCATATGTTCAGAATTAGGGTCGTATTGACCAGCAGTACCCAGGTGAATCTCAAAAGGATCTAAAAAATGTATTGGGAACTTGAGGAAACGTTTACGCACACTTCGGCCAGCTTAAATGTATGCACGTGGTCATTTGGTTTGACTCATGTATTTTTGTTAAAAAGAAATGTTTGTGAATATTTTATGTCCGCCTCAGTTACTTCTGTCATTCAATCGGCGTAGGGTATGCATAGTGTAAACTGTTAACCTTCGACCTTGACAAAAAATTGTCAGGCCCAGTCGTCTAAGGCGCCGCGATTCGCTGTGCAGAGTTGCATCCCTTAGGCACGCCAGAAACCTATGATTGTGGGTTCGAATCCCGGTTCGCCTCGATTATGTTTCTTGGTTTGTCAGCACCATACCCGTGCTCGTGGGTTTTTCCGAAGAGGTACCTGCATCACTTCGGGCTTTCCTCCCACATTAAGCTGACACGTCGTGATATAACTGGAATACTGTTAAAAGCGGCGTTAAACCCAACTCACTCACTCAATTGCACTCAAGGTCACACAATGGGAGGTGGGGTTGCCTACTGTTTGAGGCGTTGGTACATCACAATGAAGACCCGAGTTTGGTTATGTATATGTGGAGTCAATTAAATTAATTCAATTTTTAGTATTTTGATTACAATTATTCGGCAAAACCGGCGAACGTTTTAACAACTAGGCTAGCCCACCGCCTATTACCAAGACAACAGCATAGATAACGTCTCTGTGGTGATTCCAGGAACCAGCGGGTGCCCAGGAACCCATGCTTGTCACCAGGGGCGACTAAATGGACAGGGTGCACGTGGTCAGGTTTGGTCATTTTGTTAATTAAGCGCCAAGGTACACTGACGGCGTGGCCGGACGTTGGTCATTACGTCAATCACTGGTTTGTCTAAACGATACTCGATTATTTACATGCGGCCATGATATAGCTGGAATAATTACTGCAGCTTTAACAAACTAACACTGACTTTGGAAAATGTTCCATTGGTGTCCTTTTTAACGGATTTATGTGCAAATACCATTTAACTATTGCCGTCTCAATAAATGGTATGGTCAAACATGGTTATGTCAGTAGAAGCTTCGCCTTTTTACAATTTGTAATAGAAGCTGTTTCGTCACGCATGGGCATCTGTGAGTGAGTGAGTGATTATGATTTTACACCGCTATTATTCAAGCAGTTTCAATGCAGGGGCTTAGGCGTGACGAGCGAACGCTTTAACCACTAGGCTACCCGACCGCCCCTCAATAAATATAGGGATGCCTATGGGGCGGTGGGGTAGCCTAGTGGTTCAAGTTCGCTCGTCACGCCGAAGACCCGGGTTCGATTTCCTACATGGCTATAATGTGTGAAGCCCATTTCTGGTGTCCCCCGCCGTGATATTGCTGGAATATTGCTAAAAGCGGCGTAAAACCATACTCACTCACTACTTTTATTGATCTCTTCAATACAGAATATTTATGCAATAATAAACAAAACAAAATTGCTTTCCTATGATTTATGTCCTAAAGACTGGCGTCGATGAAACTTTATGTAACGTGTGTCAAGATAACTGGGCATAAACTCTGAACGAGCAATCTGGTCACATTTCAAGGAACTGATATGACGTCATTGCATGTGATAACAAACGCTGTTAATTCTGTGCTTTTTCCTTTTAATATTCCTTGCATAAAACAGGCACAATGATGTAAGGAATTACAATCTACAGTAAACTGTTTGATAACTCTTGTGTTAACAGCTAAATCACGTGTCTACATTAGTCAAATAAACAAATCAACAAAACAGCTAACTGACAAAACTGACAATGCCTACGATCAAGGGACTTGCCATTGTGTTTTCAACACGCCGCAGTGTCTCGAGATTGCAGCAGTCACTCGGACACGATCGGGTTGTTTCATTACCGCCATGGTTGTGACGAGCCGAATGTCGCAGCATACCCTTGCATTGCCCTTGTTATCTTGCCAGCATCTCCCGAAGTTTGCTTTATGAGGACAACATCTTCACAAATTCTTAAAATTAAAGAGATATTATAAGTTTTTGCTTTGAATTACTTTGAATGTGTAGGCTGAACATGTCACCACGCACACATTACGATTTCCGACTCTGCTATCACAGGTGTAGACTAACATTTAGTCTGAAATCTTAGATTACACAATATCCTTCTTGACTCTAAAAAAAAAAAATCCCTATGCTGTGGAATAGAGCTAGCTTGAGCTGGCTAGATTTGCTCTTGTGTGCGTTTCTAGATTTTTTTTCATAAAATAAATACATTCCACGGTCATGGTGCAGGACTATCACAGGGGTTGTAACATGCAGTTCAGAAAGAAACATAACTTCGAAAACAACTCTAGAGGATGCTGCATTCACATCTGCTGGTATATAAAAAACATATCTGCTACACGAACTATACAGAACAAAAATGTAAGAGATCATGAATACTTTGGGCATATTGTTATGTAGTGAAGACTGAGCACAAAATCTCAAGACCCGTGAAGATCCGGGGTAGAATAGGTCTTCAGCAACCAATGCTTGCCGTAAGAGGCGACTATGCTTGTCGTAAGGGGCGACTAACGGAATCGGGTGGTCAGGCTCGCTGACTTGGTTGATGCATGTCATCGTATCCCAATTGCGTGGATCGAAGCTCTTGATGTCAATCACTGAAATGTCAGGTCCAGACTCGATTATAGCTAGAATATTGCTAAGTGCGGCGTTAAACAACAAACCAACCTACCAACCAACCCTATTCAGTGTTCAGTATATATCTGAACAATCTAGTCGTATAAGCAGGATGCTCGACATTTCAGACCGTCGTACTTGAAATGATTTTGCACATATCCATCCCCACGTCATGTTTTCGAGCCTCACCTTTTTTCGAGACCCTAAACAATATGTAACCACGCGCCTAATAACGTAATCTAGGAAGAAACTTCATTGCCCACTGAAGACATCAAAGTGTTCGCCACTTGCCGCTGAAGTTATGCTACGAATTAAGAGCATATTCAATGAGTATCGAAAATTACCTCAAACCTTATATTTTCATTGATTGCTATTTTAACCAAACCTGATCTGATGAGGATTTTGCATCAGAGCAGTCGTATACACCGATGTATCGGCTGCTGTTTGTAAACGTCCTGCAAGTAATGTCATGTGACTGACCATGTTGTTCATCGACTGTTAACTTGATCAGTGGTGGGGCTCGAAATCATGTGACGGAAACAAGATGGCGCCTGATCGGCTCGTCTCGCTCGGCGAGGCATTATCACTATAAAATTAACAGGACATGGTCAATTGACCATCCAAGTGTAAACAGAAATAAAAGTTCTCAAAGATAAGACTTGATTTTAGTGTATTAGGATATCTGTAAGACACGTAATCAGAAATACTTTTCTGGCGCTCGTGACGTACCGTGACGAGCGAACGCTTTAACCACAAGGCTACCACCGCCAAAAGGCGAATAAAGACGTTACAATGGCAATACATGTACTAAATGAGTATACAGACGTTACCATGACTATACATATACCAATAAAGTGGTGTGAAAACGCTACTATCGCCATACGTATGTTTAAGGGTATCAATGCATTATAATGGGTGGCCCAGTCGTATGAGGCGTCACAATTCGCAATGCAGAATTGCGTCCCTTGGGTACGCCAGAAACTTATGATCGTTGGTTCGAATCCTGGTTCGCCCCAATTATGTTTGACAGCACTATACCCGTGCTCGTGGGTTTCACCAAAGTGGTAAAAGTCTGAGACGTGTATCACTTTGGGCTTTCTTCTCACATGTAGCTGAGATGCCGTGATATACTTGGAATACTCACTCCCTAACTCACCAAAATGACGGTACATATGCTAAAGGGGTATGCTATACAAACCTCCGTATTGGAGACGGCCGTCCAGGTCGCTGTCAAACTTCATTATGATGTCATCCACCTCCTTCTCAGACAACTGCGTCCCCAGCGACGTCATCAACTGCTTCAGCTCCCCTTTGTCCAGACTGCCGTCGCTGTTCTTGTCCAGCAGTCTGAAAACGTGGGCCATTTCCGTTTCCGTGTTTGCCTTCTGGTTCATACACGCGACGACAGTGAGTAGCTCGTCCAGCGTCACCTTACCGTCACCTGTTGAAGGGACAGAGAAACATACACGTGACGACAGTGAGTAGCTCGTCCAGCGTCACCTTACCGTCACCTGTTGAAGGGACAGAGAAACAGGGACGTGACGACAGTGAGTAGCTCGTCCAGCGTCACCTTACCGTCACCTGTTGGAGGGACAGAGAAACATACACGTGACGACAGTGAACAGCTCGTCCAGCGTCACCTTACCGTCACCTGTTGGAAGGATAGAGAAACATGCACGTGACGACAGAGAGTAGCTCGTCCAGTGTCACCTTACCGTCACCTGTTGGAGGGATAGAGAAACATACACGTGACGACAGTGAGTAGCTCGTCCAGCGTCACCTTACCGTCACCTGTTGGAAGAATAGAGAAACATACACGTGGCGACAGTGAGTAGCTCGTCCAGCGTCCCCTTACCGTCACCTGTTGGGAGGATAGAGAAACATACACGTGACGACAGTGAGTAGCTCGTCCAGCGTCACCTTACCGTAACCTGTTGGAGGGACAGAGAAACAGGCACGTGACGACAGTGAATACCTCGTCCAGCGTCACCTTACCGTCACCTGTTGGAGGGACAGAGAACCATGCACGTGACGACAGTGAGTAGTCCGTCCAGCGTCACCTTACCGTCACCTGTTGGAGAGACAGCGATTCGTGAAGGCGACTACTTTAATACCCTTAAGATGAGATTATATTTTGTGTTTTCGTCAGCTATATGTGTTTCTGGATATTTCGAAGGTAATCAATTTTAAGTCCCAACATAATCTCCACTTCACCTCCTTCGAAGGGTATACTCACTTCTCACTAAGGCCAATACATCTATAACCTGTTCTCGGCAACTAATACTTTTCACTATGATAACTTTCAGTTTCTTTGTATGTTTAAACATCGTTCCACGAACCTTGTGCCTAATCTGGTGTAACCGTTTGTTTCAACAGCTAGTCAGTAAGTTGTCCTTTCCCCAAAACTGGTTAGGTTTGAGAAAAAGATGAGGCAGTATGCTAACATGGTCATGCCATTAAAACGTCATTGATGTGATTTCTTTAGTGAGTATTACTATCCAAACCAAGGACTGGCGTCCTGGGCAATGTGTCTTATGTACATGTAGGTATGTCTCTATGCATCATGGGTTTCTGAAACTGTCAAATGCGATTGGCATAAAGCGCCGTCGTTCATCCGTCATCGGCCTTTCCAATTGGTCACCACTCGCCCCTTTCCGTACCTGCAAGAAGAATCGTCCCTTTCCGTACCTGCAAGAAGAAACGTCCCTTTCCGTACCTGCAAGAAGAATCGTCCCTTTCCGTACCTGCAAGAAGAATCGTCCCTCCTATCAATCAATTTTATGTGCTTAACACGACAAACCAATTAAGATGTGGGTAAGGATTGGGGTACTTTGATAAAACTAGTCCCGACTACCTAAAAAAATTATGTTTCGGAATTATTGGTCACGAATGCTGTTTTTCCATTAAGCCTTTGTAAATTCCAGTGTAAATTTCTTTTCTTAAACAATTACGCTTTTAAAGAGGAATCCATGTCATGATGAATCTAAACAGTGTTGCCATTTTGGCTACCATATTATTTAATAAAAACGTTCCCAACAATGATTTGTTGTCAGCACCAGACTCATGATCGTGGGTTCCACCAAAGTGGTAAACGTCAACATCCGGGCCACTTTGAAATGTCCTCTTACATCGAGTTGACACGACGTGGTAACCTGAATGTATGTTCAAAGCGGCATTGAACCCACGTCACTCATTAAAGACCCGTATATTGCCGATCGTATCTGAAATGAAGCAGCATTAGTCCGGGCCTCGTGATTCGGATTCAGAACTTGGCGGGGATATCATTCAAATATACCCCACACTCATGATTCCATGAGTTAGTTGCAGTCCAACAACAGTCCCAGTACTCCATACTCATGTTTCCATGGCTTCAGTTCCAGTACTCCATATTCATGCGTCCACGAGAGCAGCCCCAGTAATCCATACTCATGGCTCCACGAGTTCAGCCCCCGTACTCCATATTCATGGCTCCACGAGTTCAGTCCCAGTACTCCTTGATCATGGTTCCACGATTTCAGTTCCAGTACTCCATACTCATGATTCCACGAGTTCAGTCCCAGTACTCCATGCTCATGGCTCCACGAGTTCAGTCCCAGTACTCCATACTCATGCTCAAGGAGATAAGTCCCAGTACTCCATGTTCATGATTCCACGAGTCCAGCCCCCGTACTCCATACTCATAGCTCAAGGAGTTCAGTCCCAGTACTCCATGTTCATGATTCCACGAGTTCAGTCCCCGTACTCCATACTCATAGCTCAAGGAGTTCAGTCCCAGTACTCCATGTTCATGATTCCACGAGTTCAGTCCCCGTACTCCATACTCATAGCTCAAGGAGTTGAGTCCCAGTACTCCATGTTCATGATTCCACGAGTCCAGCCCCCGTACTCCATACTCATAGCTCCAGGAGTTCAGCCCCCGTACTCCATACTCATAGCTCCAGGAGATCAGTCCCAGTACTCCATACTCATAGCTCCAAGAGATCAGTCCCAGTACTCCATATTCATGGCTCAAGGAGATCAGTCCCAGTACTCTATGTTCATGATTCCACGAGTCCAGGCCCCGTACTCCATACTCATGGCTCAAGGAGATCAGTCCAAGTACTCCATACTCATAGCTCCAGGAGTTCAGCCCCAGTACTCCATACTCATAGCTCCAGGACATGGGTCCAAGTACTCCATGTTCATGATTCCACGAGTCCAACCCCAGTACTCCATACTCATGGCTCAAGGAGATCAGTCCCAGTACTCCATACTCAAAGCTCCAGGAGTTCAGTCCAAGTACTCCATACTCATGGCTCAAGGAGATCAGTCCCAGTACTCCTTAATAATGGTTCCACGATTTCAGTTCGTGTACTTCATACTCATGATTCCACGAGTTCAGTCCCAGTACTCCATGCTCATGGCTCCACGAGTTCAGCCCCCGTACTCCATACTCATTTTTCCATGACTTCAGTCGCAGTACTCCATACTCATGGCTCAAGGAGATCAGTCCCAGTACTACATGCTCAAGGCTCAAGGAGTTCAGTCCCAGTCCGACACCAGTTCCAGTACTTCGGACCCATGAATCTTTATTCTTGGTTAACGGGTTGAATTGTATAGTAGTATACAGACACGGGTAGAGGATATAGAAATATATATGTCGTATGCATGTTTACCGATATATATATGTACTTCTACTGCTAAAAACGACTGCACTTATATTGCGCAATACTTCACATATCGTCCAGATTAACGCATCACAGATACGGAATACTGTCCTTTGTTTATACATGTATGTAGTCATTCCTACGTAAACCTCCGAGACAGTGAGGCCTCCAGTTGCACTGCATGAACTGTTTGTATTTGGCTATTTGGTCGTATATCCCCAAGAGGACAATTCTAGATCTTCAGATCTGTAGATCCAATTCACGTCGAACTTTAATCAGCTGTTATAAAGCTGATGCACAAACTAGGGCTCTCTAGTGCTATCTAGTGCTATCTAGTGCACCCATGTGTATAAGCACGTGACACAACTCAAAGCTTCTAAGAGATAGGGTCATCCACACTCGTACCTCAGTCACATGCATAGACATTGAACGTGATGAATGGATTGATCGAAGAGAATAGATTGTCCCAGAACATGCTTGAAAACATATTTAGTTTGGAAAAAAGGACGTGTCTGCCACAGAAAATATTGAGGCTGATAGTTTTAAGCACAAAAAATAATCTAATCTCAATACACAATCCCTCCCACAGCCCCAACCAGGTCCCCTTTCCCACCCCTCAATATCAAACGGTCGTCCCTTTCCACGACTGGGACGTTACGTCTTGCAGATGCGATCCATTTAATTACAATAAGGGTTGCTGTAAAAGAAATATATCTCAGAACCATGCACCTGAGACAGTAACGTAGTTGTTTAATCATTATGATTAATTTGAAATTCAAGTATTCTAAGGACTAGTTAAGAATTGTATCGAACACTATTTTCCAGCGTGGTAATCTAATCGAGGAAACCAAACCGTTTAAACATTTATACCGTTCATGCAACAAGTTCAATCAGTTGGTTGCAGTTAAGGTTTTCACAGTCCAAAAGAGTCACTTTCAGAATGGTTAACGTAGAAAGGTATTAATGCGCTGATATTAAGATATTACTTTTCACGTATAGGAGATTCACGATTAATTTAAAAGCAGAACGTATCGTGCAACGCAGTTCCGTAGATGGTCATTTAGCAGGTGCCCTCCCATAATGACAATCGAAGTGTTTATTATTTATTTAGCGCATTTTAAGATCAGTTAATAGATTTCCCAACGGTTGGTAACGTCAGTGTGCTTGAGAATCCTGTTTTCATAATGTTTGTTGATGTGAATAAGATTCATTCGCGTAAAATACGTTTGGGACAGAGATACTGGCATGTCTTGCCAGGCGTGTCCTAATACAGGTAACTAAAAAGGCATTAACTAATAGGTCCTTATCTCTTATCCCTAAGGGACATTCCCCTATGAGGGCATTTGTATGTTTAAGAAATAGACGAGGGGACGAGGGTGTGTGTGTGTGTGTGTGTGTGTGTGTGTGTGTGTGTGTGTGTGTGTGTGTGTTCATCGTTCAATAAAACACTGCAGGAAGAATAAACCATGAGGGGCGCAGCAATCGTTTTATATAACTTCTTGTATTTTGGGGCGGTGGGGGTAGCCTTGAGGTTAAAGCGTTCGCTCGTCACGCCGAACACCGCCGTGATATTGCTGGAATATTGCTAAGCGGCGTAAAACCATAATCACTCACTCGTTTGTATCTTAGTGAGTGAGTACGGTTTTACGCCGCTTCCTCAATCACTCACGCGTTGTATGTTAGAATATTGATAAGTGCGGGTTAAACAACATATATACAAACAAACAAACGAACGTTGCATCTAAGTGGAATTCAGTGTTTATACTCAATGCTCTAAAAACTAGTGCGGAAACTACAGTTCTTAGTTGTGGCATATATTCTGCATCGTTATTCAATAGAACAGGATACTTCAAAAGGTACACACAGGGATGTCCTTGTCGCTCTTACCGTTGATGTCGAACCTGCTGCAGACGTCTGCAGTGTCGGTGCTGCTGGTGTGGAGGATGTTGCCCACTCTGCTGAAGTCGCTTGCCGTCAGGTATCCTTTACCTCCCTCATCAAACACCTTGAAGATGTCGTTGTAAGCTGGACGGAAGATGAACTATATGCGGTTTATTATTTCTGAGTTTAATTACTGTTCCTTAAGCAAGAAAGGAATTTCATTGCAATGTGTAACCCAGCGACAAGAGAATGGGTGTTGTTTAAAGTTTTATTCTGAAAGTACTTTTCGGTTCGGGCGCCAAGCTGTTTGATTTCCTGTATCGAATTAGGTCAAAACAAATTGATTATTTGTTCTTCATTCGATCAAAAGAAATATGGTTAGTCTTACCTGGTCAAAATAAGACTTTAAAAGACCCTGAGGTATCCCCCCCCCCAAAAAAAAAATAAATATTTTTTTTTAAAAAAAAAATGTAAATTTTTTATTGATTTACCCACCCTAAAAAAAATCCATACCCCCCCCCAAAAAAAAAACCCAAAAAAATCAAAAAAATCCAACCCAACAACAAGGAAGGAAGGTACAATAAAAAAATCACACAGTATACCCATTTGGGGAATCGAACCAGGGCCTTCAAAGTAGCAATCGAACGCTTTAACCACTAGGATACCCCACCGCCCCCATCAACCAAGAGTCATATTGATAGTTTTGTAGATTTTACATAATACATTTGTTGTCATGAAACAGGAGAGGTGAGGTGAAATGCGGTTTAACGTCGCGTAGATTATTATTATTATTATTATTAGATTAAGATTATTGCACGATGTGTATGCACGTGTATTTGTGTGAGTGTGGCTGCTTGAACTAGTCCGGGCTAATGCCGATGTTATAGTGCTAGCCCATTGAGATACCATGCCGCAGTTTAACATGAATACCCCACTCAGACACAGTATACTGACTCCGAGCAGATAACCCCATTATGCCGAAAGCCAGGCAAGGTAACAATAAGTACCTTCTTTTAACGTCCTTTGGTATGAGGCGGCCTGAGATCAACACTCGGACCTTACGCTTCCCTGGCGGACGCTCTATCACAAGACCACGGTGGCGGTTTCATGAAACAGCTCGTTCGACCTCCTCAACTTTGATGAAGAAAACCTTACATATAAGAAACAGTCCCTCACCCTCCACTTCATCTGGCGCAAGGATCTGGTACTTCATCTTGCCGTCGACGTCAGTCTTGCTCTTCTGTAACAGACGGATCGAATATGCTGGTGTCACTACAAATTATAATGCTAAACATCAACACAGAAGAGGCCCCAGTCGCCTGACTCGTATTTAGAAGATACAATACGGTAGGAGGTAACGGAAACACCAAATACAACAACCATTCTGTTTGTTTGTTTGTTGCTTAACGCCGCACTCAGCAATATTCCAGCTATATGACGGCGGTCTGTAAATAATCGAGTCTGGACCAGACAATCCAGTGATAGACATCATGAGCATCGATCCATGCTGAACGAATCCCATATGACAATGGCACCAGGTGTTCTGAGAATGGACGCTGGATCTGGTATTTCAAGGAACACCCGGTTATAAGGTTGCTCCACTTCATCACAACTGCATTGACACAAGAGTCCATTTGGTGTGTCCAAATCCTACGGTCGTTTGTTTGAACAACATGTCTGAACGTTAAACCCCTTCCTCACTTCACCTCAATATTCGACCTGATTTTGTCAGCACCATATATTGTACCCATGCTCGTTGAATTCACAAAACTGGAAAAGGTCTGATATCTGCACTTCGTTCTCCCACGGGGCGGTCGGGTAGCCTAGTGGTTAAAGCGTTCGCTCGTCACGCCGAAGACCCAGGTTCGATTACCGACATGGGTACAGTGTGTGAAGCCCATTTCTGGTGTCCCCCGCCGTGATATTGCTGGAATATTGCTAAAAGCGGCGTGAAGCCAAACTTACTCACTAACTCACTCTTCCTCCCAAATTAAGCTTACACGCTGTGATGTAACTGGACAGCTTGATGTGAGAGGAAAACCCGAAGTGATGCGGGTCTAAGACGTTTACCGATTTGAAACGCAACTCTGCACAGCGAATTGCGGCGCCTAAAATTACTGGGCCACCCTGAATCTACGTGAAAAAGTGAATATATATCAGTCAAATAGTAGGGGAGTACCGATTAATACCGGTCAATAGTCACCATAAATTCAGCCTTACTCTATCGATAGTATCGACAGACACAAAGAACAGGAACAAGAACTGATAAGAATTCACGTTATACACCTTGTTTGAACAAACATGTCCGAATCAATACATGACGCGTTCGTCACACTAGGGCCGAGGGAGTAGCCTTGTGGTTAAAATGTTCGCCCGTCACGCCGAAGACCCGGGTTCGAAGCCCATTTCTGATGTACCCCGCCAAGATATTGCTGGAATATTTCTAAAAGGGGTCATAAACACTCACTCACTCGTAACATCATATCAGAAATAATAAGCGTAATATTCGGCGTGACGAAGGAACGCTTTAACCACTAGGCTTCCCGACCGTCCCTACTTCGCATATAACAAAGTGGACGATAAACTCTGTTTTCCCGAAGCAACTTCTTGTCCCCAAAGCACTAATAACTAGCCATGTTCTTTGAATTTCGGTTCGACCAAGCAATTACACAGGTAAAATATCAGTTATATACATAATTGACTTTGTTTCATGGTACTAAACAGGAAATGTGTCACTTGTAAAGCATTTTACGTCACTACTAACAATAACATGTCACCATACACATGTCACATTAATCAGAAATAAAATGAATACCGAATTCTCTTAAAAGGACTATGTCGCGCTGGTGATCATGACATATCATACAGTTCGCCTAAATGTTTTTGTTAACAACACATTCGCGTTACACCAATGGGTTACAAAACGTTATGTTAAGAGGGCGTTCAAACACTTACCAGGATCGTGAACATGGCTGCATACTGGCGTGCCGAACCCGACGGGGTGGATAAACTGGAATCATTCCCTTCATAATTAAGAGGCAATTAATGAAAGGTAAATATTTAACATCAGTATCCTCAAATAGCTTCACAATGTCGTGAGCCCATTTGTGACGACAATACGCTGTAGAGTAATCGGGCATTTACTGAAGTGCACACACGGCATGTCGACGTAAGATCGTTGTTACTTACCAAATGCGCTTAGTATCATGTGAAAGGACTTCTCTTGAGAAACGTTTGCACATGTTAAGGAATTATATTCAGCGAATCATCGTAAACTCGAATTCTTTAATTCATATATCGCTTCATGTGATTCTTGTGATGAAGACAAAATAATATTGAAGCTTTGTGAACTCGAAGTCCTTTAACACGATATATCGCTCCATGTAATGTACTTCCTAGGTACTGGCAGAATCCCATCGGTACTACGGTCTATTATCGACACCCGCTTATCTCGAACGACTTGTTATTTGATACTGGTTCGATGCTCCACAGGACATCGAGTTAACAAATCATCATCAATTTTTAATACATATCCGAAAAAGGATAAAATTTTACAGAAAAAAACAACAAACTTTAGAAGTTTGAGGCATATAATGTACACAGGGTCGATGTGGTGAAGGCTGGTTCGGGTCTTGTTTTGGATGATCTAGACTGTTTGTTCTCTGGTGATGACGTTTCATATTTAAGCTTTTGGATTCGAACCAATAACAAGCGTGACCTAGTGATTAGGAACCATCTTCCCGAACCAAGGGAGTTAGCTGACTGGACTTTTGGAAGCTGTCAGTTAACTCCCTTGCCTCGGGAGGATGTTAGGAACAAACCCTAACAACAGTTTGGGGTGTGGTGAGGTGAAATGGGGTTTAACGTCGCGTCCAGGATTATTGCACGCGTAGGTGCGTGTGTGGCTGCTTGTACTAGTCCGGACTGATTTTATAGTGCTAGCTCAATGAGATACCATGACACAGTCTAACATGAATACCCCACTCAGACACAGTATACTGACCCCGAGCCGACCAGTCCTTGTTTCATCCCCCTTTTGCTGAGCGCCAGACAAGGTAACAACAAGTATCATATTTTAGCATCTTTTGGTATGACGCGGCCGGGGATCGAATCCCGGACCTTCCGCTCTCCGGGTGGACGCTCGACCACTAAACCACGGAAACGGTCCTGCAACAGTTTGAAGTTCGAAGTTTTTGACCGTATTATTATCATTATTATGTTTTATATTCTTGTTGTCTGTTGATGCATAGCATCCTCATCATGTTTCACTATCACAGTAGGTGTACCATTGGGTTGACAGGGCAGGATGGATCTCCGCCATGATGTCGCCGGACCAGTTTCTACCTGCTTCATTCAGCACATTCACTCACCTATTCACTCCAAGCAGATGATTTAAGACATCGTACATGTACGACTTTGTGCATCCATGAGAAAAGAAAGATGAGTTCAGATGGTAACTATATATTTATGTGGAGCATAATATTGCGATATTTATCTCTGTTCATTGTCTCATTGCACTGAGAAGCTAAGACGACAGTCCTGCACCCAACTGCCAATGTCATGTATGATCAGGGGCTTACGTATAATCCTAACATGGAAATTCCCAATACACAGAGTTCAGTCTAATAGTGATCAATTGATTGGATTAGGTTGAGTTGAGTTGAGTTGAGTTGAGTTGAGTTGAGTTGAGAGTTATGTTGTTGAGTTGAGTTGAGTGAATGGTTGAGTTGAGTTGAGTTGAGTTGAGTTGAGTATTTCCAAACACCGCGTTACAATATTGCAGATATTCCCTCCGACCCTTTATTAATGTTCGTGTGATGAATGCTACTGGATCAATGATAGACATGAGAATGTTGACCTAAATACCAAAATAAGAACCCCAGTCACATCGAAGACGCAATCAGAGTAAACTAGCAGCGAAATGATTTAATTACTGTAGTTATGAGGTAGTGGATGAATGGAAATGATGAATAATAATTGGTTAATATAAACAAGAACCATATGTCATGCGCACGTGTTTATGAATCATTATCAACAGTGATGATACCAGGTGTTCGCGGAAAGGTGAGCGTATTCTGCTTCATCGGTGGCACCCGTCACAAACACATGCAAAGGCAAGTGAATTCTTCACTGAAAAACACGTGAACATACGTACAAGCCAACATAGGGCCGGGAATTGCATCATCCATAATTTTTGACACTGATGCGTTATATTTGGAAATATCCTCCACATGTCTACCATAAAACCTTTTTTAAAATGTGCGGAAACCTTGAATGTTGTAGCCTTTATCAAACACGTTTTGAGCAAGAGTCGTATCACCCTTAAAATCTTCGTAGAAAGAGCATGCTCGATTGTACCTCAAAAGATATAGACAGTAATGCTGAAATAACGACATTAAAACGACAACGGCTGACGCTGACGTTATCCTAGTTGTCGTTGTAGTTGTTGTTGTGGATGCTACGGATGAAACCTGGCACATTGTTTGAGATTAACAATAAATTATGTCATATCTTTTCTTTGCTCTTCCAGTCATTTTACGTTTGTTTCGGCGACGGTAATATGACATTACCGTAATCTTAAACGTCAATTCTATCGTTGAACATTGCGGCCTGAGAGATATACAATCTAGCACCATAAACAAGTATAGTCAAGATTACCATTCAACGTTTGATATAGAAAATCAGATATGTCATTATATTTAAACATACAACAGACATATGATTAGAATCATTTTTGTGTATCATGGAAAGATAATACCTTATCCACATCCTCATCAAAAGTGAAGCAGTCTATTTTCTGTGTGTTTGATTCTTAGCAGAAAATACCATCTTGTAGTTTAGTTTTGAAGTATAAAAATAAATATATATATAATATTCTCATCAGTCAAAGCACATAGTTAGACACTATTGACGAGACATTATAATATCATGATTGCATTTTCTTGAACATTGACTCCTAGCCCGTTCATTAATGAAGCTATCAGTGTTCCCGTTGGGGTAGTATTTCACCCTGTCGGCTGTGACACAGTTCATGCCGTCGTCGATATCTCACGGTCAGTCAACATTAACTAAAGCCCGGCGTCCTGTACAGATTTACTCTGAAACATGAAACATTAACTCTGAAACATAAAACAATGACACTGCATGTCCGTGATCAGATCCGCAAATAATGGGAATTTTGCTGAAAGTTACAACTGCAAATAATGGGAATTATGTTGGACCATGGCTACGTGGGCTGACGTGACTGAGAGGATTCGGATGTCGACACCGCGCCTCATATATTATTCGTGAAACAATAGCGATTAGAGTGCTGTTGAGGGATATAATGTTTGCAGTTGGCTAAATTGCTTCTGTCTGGATCAAGTTGAAATTGACTTCGTTTAATGGCTAGAGGTCGATAATGGAGTGGAATGCCCAATGTTGACGAGAACAATATATTGATATTAAATTACCTTATTGTTGAGAGTTTAGTTTAATGTGTTATCCCTGGTCTGTCATACACTTGATCAAGCGTGTCACGTAATTTGGAAAAACAGACTGTGTCACTTTGGGCTGTTCTCCAACATGAAGCTCGAAGAACCGGAATACCGCACGTCTTCAAAAAGGCGTTGCACCCACTTCCCTCATATTTTTTTTATCAAACTTAAATGATAGTGTTTCTTATGTCGAAACGCGTTTTTGTCAGTTCAGTATTGTTAAAGTTCATCAGTTAGGTGAGCATGTAAATGAATATTGTTTTACGCCGTACTCAGCATTAGTACAGATCTCGTCGGGATGTCAAACAACTCTGGACCAGACAAACCAGTGGTCGATGGCATGACCACATGGCCACGTCTTCTGGGTATGATGACATGTAATCGGATCAGGTCGCAACTGAGTACACTATTACATACCCGATGTCATCTGATGACCGTCTGATGACCATTATAATGACACGCGGGTTATTGGTGACCAAAATATCCAGGTCCTACCTGTTATAGATATGCTCAAGAAAACTCGGAATGGCGAGAGTAGACAAGAGGTTAAAGGTCATATCGCCGAAGATCCTGATTCGATATCACACATGTGTAGCCCATTCTTGGTACCGTGTCCTGATGGGGTTGCATATTAGAGTTCGATGTGAATAATCTTCTATCTGAATCTCAGGCTGGTTTTCGCCCAAACTATTCAACGGTTGACAATGTCTTTATATTGCAAGCTTTATCTTCCAAATATTTATGTAACCCAGGGGTCGCTTTTATTGTGTATTTGTAGATTTTAAAAAAAGCTTTCGATTATGTGGATAGAGAAAAAATGTTATATTTACTTCTTACCAAATGGGGATAGAATATTGCTTCTGATGGGGATAGAATATTGCTTAGAGTTTGGTTTGATGTGAATAATCTTTTACCTGAATCTCATGCAGGCTGGTTTTCGCCCAAACTATTTAATGGTTGATAATATTTCTATATTGCAAGCTTTATCTTCCAGATATTTATGTAAAGAGGTCGCTTTTATTGTGCATTTGTAGATTTCAAAAAAGCTTTCGATTATGCTTATCGACGCAGCATTTTCGTGTTGATTATCGACGCAGCGTTTTCAAGGCTATGATGTCACGCATCAACCGCATGATATTCACGGAAATTGTTTGTTTGATGCTTCACGATAAAGTGTTTGCAAGGCTATGATGTCACGCATCAACCGCGTCATATTCACGGAAATTGTTTGTTTGTTGCTTCACGATACAGTGTTTTCAAGGCTATGATGTCACGCATCAACCGCGTCATATTCACGGAAATTGTTTGTTTGATGCTTCACGAGGCAGGGTTTCCAAGGGTATGATGTCACGCATCAACTGCGTCATATTCACGGAAATTGTTTGTTTGATGCTTCACGATACAGTGTTTTCAAGGCTATGATGTCACGCATCAACCGCGTCATATTCACGGAAATTGTTTGTTTGATGCTTCACGATACAATGTTTGCAAGGCTATGATGTCACGCATCAACCGCGTCATATTCACG